ATTGTTATTGTAGAAGTGTGCCTTCTTTACGGAAATTTAACGCTTTTTTTGGATTTCCCCATAAATGGATTGTTCAAGAGCTACGAGTTGATTTATGATGAAAACAGTAGATTATCTAAAAAGTTGATTTTCTACCGAGAAATTAATCAATCATTTTTATTGTTGTAAGGTTTTCTGTTTTTCAATCACCCAATGGTGAAACTCCTACAGAAGAAATAAATAAAGATTTCACTTTTACAATTCTCTTCGTCAGAAAGTGAGGAATCATGTGGCCTTCCAATCGACAGAGAAGATTATCTCGGAGCATAGTGGAAATGCGGATAGCGTCCCAAGGCATTAGGTTGTGTGGAAAAATAGTGCTGTAATTTTTTTAATGGAATTATAGGTTCGCTACTTTCGGAACCAAGGGACTATTGAGGTCTCGGTATAGGGTTGATACATAATAAGAAGGGTTTCATATAAATATTAATTTACATATTAAATTAATGAATTTAATAAATATTAAATAATAATGAATTGATACTAAATTTTATCAGCTTCTATTAATTATATAAATACTCAATTAATTATACACAATTTTTTCGAAATGAAAAATCTGTCTCACAGGCGGGATATCGTGGCTTAGATCGGACACTAACTTCCCATCTCAACTTCACCTTTTGAATTTTCCCTCCTTTTTGCAATTTTTCAAATGTCGTGTAATCTATTTGATTCTCGGCGACAAAGGAATTGGCCGCGGAGAGCTTTAGTGAAGATATACTTCATTTAACTTATTAAATTCATAGTTTTCGTGATCCGCTTGACCAAATAACATCTTTCAATTAATTAATCTGTATTTGGATATTATTGAGTGAATCAAAGTAACGATAACTCAAGTGGTAGAACAGCGGCGTATTTAGCCGAAGGTCGTGGGTTCGAATCCCGCTTGTGACGCTGAATTTTTATCTCAACCAATACTTTAAATACAGATTAATTAATTGAAACATGTTATTTGGCCAAGCGGACCACGAAAACTAGTGAACTTATATTAATCTTTTGTAATTAATTGGAAGTATAGATAGTCAATTTTTGATTTTGGTTCGTCAAAAATTTATATATTTAAACATATAATATGAATCTATGTATATTATATTTAATATTACAAGAGTGTCTTGGCTGAATCACTTTGTTAAATAATAATAAATATCAGCCATAATTAAATTTAAAAAATACATTATGATCTCTTCTTATGAATTTTTAAAATTCCATACAGTAAGTACAAAAAACGAGTTTTAATCATTTTTCGTATTGTTTTCTTTTCTCCTTTAAAAACGGAAAAGTTAAATTAAAAGAAAAACAAAATAAAACATAATATTTTCAGATAGTATTCAAATCTAAATAGAAATCTATTGATAAATTTTGTTATTAGAGATTTAGTAAAAGCCGCAAGTCTTGGACTTAATTAAAATAACTTTAATCAATTAATTTGCAATAAATAATTGTTCGGTTAAGGACATTTACATATAAAACTAGCAATAAGACGAAAGTGTGTTTAAAAAAACATCGGTACAAAAATTTGGGGTGAATTCCCTGGCGTGTCTTTTTCTACAATATCTCCTAGCTTGATTGGACAAGTCGAACGGACCCATTGATTCATATTTGACCTTATGACCCCCCCGGCAGTTTAACGTAAAACGAGAAGCAGGTGGATTTTGATTTTTTGTCATGAATATTTAGCCATTTGGGCAACCACCAAGCAGCTCGGAGTTTATCACGCTAAAACCTCTATTCCCCGAGAGAAATCGCTCGTGAATTAATTAGTAGACAATAACCGCCTTGATTATTCACATTATATGTACACACACACACACACACACACACACACACACACACACACACACACACACACACACACACACACACACGCACGCACGCACGCACGCACGCACGCACAAACACAGGCACGCCTGGTATTAAACGTTTACGTTGCGGGGGCGAGAATGGCCAGATTAGTGAATTGTCCTATTGATTTATTCGACGTGATAAGAAGGGATAATGGTTGAAAATGGCCTGTGATGCTCCGGCCCCTCTTTTAATGACCCAACGGCAAGTTTGCCAACTCGTATGTGTTTGCATGCTTATGAGTCTAATAATTGAGAATGGTGGGCGCCCGGTTCCATTATTTTTCATCTGATTAAAACCGCTATTATGTACATATAAAACCACTTTCCACCCTTCTATCGGTCCAGCGGAATTTTAAAGACTGAACTCTGTGATTAACTAAAGTCTACCCAGGGCCAGATTCCTGCAAGGTTGTGACCGACACTGGCTAGGGCATCCTATTCGAATTTGTCATGATGATGGTAATCGGTACAAATCCCAGCATAGCCGTTGGATTTTTACTCGAGGGTATTTTATAAAAATACTGAAAAACGGCTCGAACCTCTCATCCGTCTACACCCAACAGGTAGTTAGACGATAAACCCTATACTACGTGAATTACTTTTTGTCAGTGAAAAACTGCATCGACATAAATCACATATAAAAAGACACCCAAAATCAACACTAACAGAAGATTCACAAAATTTTACTTACACCATAAACACTACAGTACTCGATGAATAGGCGAAAACATATCACTAACCAACCAATAAGAAATGCTAATATCAAAAAATCAGACAAACCAATGAAGTATCAACTACATTCAAAAAAAGATTATATATATAAATATACGTAACATCGTCCCTTTGTCATGATAGCTACGCTTGAGACTACGCGCGATTGTAGTGGCCTCGTAACCTTATCGTGGAGGCAGCGTTAGACAATGATATAGAATATGATCATTACCAGATAGAAATAATAACATTAAATAGTGAGCGCAAATGTAAATAAAGCTTAAATTGAAATTGATGCATGACATACCGTAAGAATAAAATATGGACATGAATTTGGATAGTAGAAAGTCGGGGTTTTCTATTCCCCAAGTACAGTAGCCTTCTGGTTTCTTGCACTCTTTTTGTTTGTTAGTTCACGGAAATAGACTTTATCCTTCACCCAAAGATTACTAGGTCATTGACTATGATTGGTGCAATTCCTTTCCTTCCTCATAACATACAGATGAGGGAATCATTGAATATACCTATATTATTTAGATGTTTTCATATGCCAGTTCATTGTTTAGTTAGCTGTTTAAAGATAGTAGGGTTGAAATATTTTATAATTATAAACTACAACTACTATTAAAAATTAATATTTTATTTTTCAATGTCAAATTTTAAAGGAAAATGTTACAATAACATGTAAACTTTAATTTTTGTTATAACCGTTTGCGATAAAAGGTAGAAAACAAGACACAAATCCTCTTTATTTATTTCTAACATTGAGATTGAAAGAAAAGACAATCTTTTTAATTTCAAAAAAAAAATAATAATAATAATAAGTCATACACTCTTGTCGTATAATACCAAAGATCATCATTAAAAAAATCCTCTCAAAATTGTGTCAAAAACATTGCGATATATTGAGAGTTGGCCTGATTAAAAAGTATTTAGAAAGAACGTGGGTCATGGTGGTGTGTAAAGGTTAATTATAATTATCTACAGATTGAACATTTCTGCAATCTGAATTTAGCAATACTTTTTAATTAAGCGAAGTGTCACCATGGATCGTTTTTCTGGTCGTTTAAACATCACGACTTTCATTAAGTTCACCCAACAAAGTTTAAAAACGAATTATTTACTAAGAAATTAATGAAATTAAAAATGGGGCAGTATTGTAATTACAAATTAACAACACGTGTGAACTTTTATTTAAGTTATTAAGGTAATATATAATGAAATATAACGTGAATGTAACCGCAAGCAGACAAATTTTAATGAGACTGCCTTGTGACGGCGCAATATGGCAACAGTCCGTCATGGCTTCGAAACCATGAGGGTTTAGTATTTCTTCAAATGTGTGTACACTTCCAAATTTTTTTTTACTTTTTCATCACAAATGAATATTTCGTTGTGTTGCAATTTAAGTTTTTTCGTACATTCAAAAGTGACTAGCATAAAAACCAGCTTCTTAATGCGGCGCGGTGTTGTCGGTGGTTCGGCGGGTCAATTTACAATTCACTTCGGGAGGCTTGTTGTGAGGGTAAAATCGTTGGAAAATAATTAAGGAATAACACTAGACATGAGCATGTATTGATCATTGTATAATTAGGTACATCCTCGGTATTCGGTAATGATCTGTGTTTACATCGTTATAACAATATTGTCTAATATTTATGTAAGGCATGGGTTGGGATAAAAAAGCCAGTGTCACAAGCGAGATTCGAACCCACGATCTTCGGCTAAATACGCTGGTGCTCTACCACTTGAGCCATCTTGCCTTCGATCCGCTCGGACACTAACTTCCCATCTCAACCTAACCTCTCGAATTTTCCCTCTTTTTTTACATTTTACGAATCCCGCTCGTGACACTGACTTTTTTATCTCAAACAATACCTTTCATAAAGATTAATTAATTGAAAAAAGTTAATTGGTCAATCGGACCACGAACTGTAATGGATTTAATATTGTCTAAGTTGTCCGACAATGAAAGTCGACACAACTCTTTGTAATACAATTTATAATTCAGATATTCATGTTGTTTTTAAACAAGCTAATTAATAAACAGGTTATGTGATATGTAGGTATGAAAGAAATTTAATTTCGAAGTTTCATCTTTCTGAAGAAAAATAGAACGATTATGAAGTAATAAAAGGAATTCTGAACAATTTTCTTTGTATTACTTGTAAACAGAAAGAGACCCGTTTATTTCTCCTTGTGTAAAAATATATTAAACCTTACTGAAATATGAGATTTCTTAACAAGCTTTGTAACTGTTTAGGGCTTGTACATTATTACCTGACCTTTTATATTATCTTTCCGTGTACAATTGCCTTAAAATCTGAAAAGCGAGATAAACGGGTCTTTAAGCAGTTTATTAAATTTACTTATTATGTGTCTCATTTAATGTTTACTGTGTTTCAGAATTGAAGCCCGGAGTTTACGAGGACTTCGACGATGAGGACAATTCAGGCTCGGAGGAATGTCCGGTCCTTATCACGCTGCTAATCGCCATTTCCTTCCAGCTCTTCCGTTAAAAACACAAGCCCGGCGGTTTTAAAATCGAGAAGGATGTAAAAACCGTTATTTTTTAAAGGGCGGTTTCTCTGGCAGAGGGGTTCGCCGTTTTGGCGCCGGTGTGTCAGTAAAAGGTCATTTTCGATTTTAAATGGGGCGACGACTTTAAAGATTTAGGGTGATTTCAATATAATTTAGATATATTAAAGACTGTCGACGTGGGCGATTCTCATGTGATTTTCCATGGGGATGGTGAAATGGAGATCCTACCTAAATTAAAAATTACGTGGTGAACATCTTATAAAGCTATTTCATGTAAATATAGTTTTATATGTGGGTGTAATTAAATTATTATTAGGTACAAATATTTCTCGCTAAATTGATTTGTGATTTCCATTAAAGAAAGATGACCGTTTTCTGCTATTCCAAATGTATTGAGATACAATAGTGTTTATTATTTGCCAAGAGTATTCTACATCATCAGAGTTTTATATGTTACCCAATACTACTGAACTAAAACGAACGAAAATTTTTATCTACTTTCTACTTAATAAAACGATTTCTAGCGAATCCTTATCATACAAAAAACGTGTGTGCAGACAAATATTTATTAAAAGTAAAAAATATCCCATTTCCGTTTTACTTCATGTTAATTCGCGTTAGGCTACAGTACATTAATACTTTTAAAAAATACACTTATTATTGTTATTTCTCCAATATTGTATTTCAAAGGCTCGAATATTGGTTTCAGTCGAAATTTATATTACTTATTTTATAATTACTTACATGAGAAAATAGATACCTGACAGTTTAAATTGTATTGTATTTCCTTTGAAAATGTTATCGCGATATAATTGACAAGGCAATGTAAAAAAATATAAAACACGTAGTTCCTTTGCATTCGAAAAATATATCCACTTCACCAAACTTTAATATTTTATTACCAGCAACAACAAGTACAATTTCCGGATAATGGGGATGTATTCTTAGAAACATTGAGGAAGGAACTGAGTCTGTATCTTATTTTACAAATTGGTCTTATTTCTGATATTCTACTACAAAATTAAAAAGATTAGTTAATATTACTTTTTAAAGACACTTTAGATTTTAAACTTTAGACAATAAATACATTTATTTCTTATAAAACTTATTCCTGTTACACAACATTATTAAATAAAGATACAAGAAAATTTTATATTGACGTTTATTTACTCTACTATTTCGGAAAAGAGTTTCCTTGCTTTAATGGTCGTCAAAATTTAAAAACATGTTTAGTCCGTAATCGCTCAATATTTTCTTTTTTCAATTCATTTTGTAACACAAGTATTGTTTTAAAGTAGACAAAAGTACGTTTTCCTGTAAATAAAGTTTAAAAATTAATTTAAAATTTATTCTAGAATGATTTCTCCTTATTTACATGTCGAAAAAAAACGGGCTTTATTACACATAAAAGAATCATTATCTAGAATAACTTATCATGGGTTTTTGTGGGTTGTCGAGACAATACAATCAGAAATGATCTTTAACGACATTGTGGCTCGTGCCATTTCCAACCCCGACCAAAATTGTATTTATCTTAAGAAATGTTTATTTATTATCCATATTATAAGCTTTAAATCGGAAATGATTTTCATTTTGCGATTTCGAACGCAATAATATTTTATTACATATTAGTTGTGTTTGCTACGATCTGTAGCTTGAACTAGTCAGAGTGTCAGTCCAAATGATTTTCTGATATATTTTGCTATATCGTAATTATTATATATTTATTGTGTAATATTAAGATTAATATAAGTGTTAAGGCCGCACAAGCGTGCATGTAATTAATGTAGTGTAAGTTAAGTAAAATAAACATTGTCGAGCCTTAGAAAATGGATATTTTTATTTATTTGTGTTTAAGAGTTTTCCTTATTTAGGCAAACATTTACATGTGTCTTGTTCTTATATTTATTTTTTCTTATATATTAAAACAACAAGTGATAGTTCATTAAAGTAATTTCAATAACTTATTGTAAGAAACACAATGTATATATTTATAACCGATGTTTTTAATTTATAAGAAATTATATAGTATTGCAATAATAAAATTTTAAATCCCATTTTTCTTCTATGGGGCTGTATGGGATAATTATTCTAAATAGCTAATTATTGATCATATATATGTGTTCCTACTCATGTTAAATAAAGGCTCGGATATTCCCAATGCTTGATTGTATTTGAAATCCTCTTGTACTCTAGACTGTGACGACACCCGGATGCAAGTAAACTTTTGTAAATAAAATATGTACTTATCGTAACATTAATTTTCAATATAGGTCCTTCACCATTTTTTCCACAAATAAACATACAGTTTCCATTAAATGTAAAAACACTGATCACAGAGCATAAAGTTTGTTCAGTGATCACAATTTCTTTCTTTCACTTTGTAGCTGGTAAAGTGTTTTGTTTCAGGTTTTTTTACAGTGTATTAAACAATCGCAATACACGTCATAAATAATTAAAAAATTCTACAACAGAGTGCAAAAAAATCCTCTATACCTTGTTTGCCAAACTAGGTAAGAAGGTCGAAACACTGTAATCACATTGCATCGTTCCAAAAATAAATAACACAAGAAAGTAAATGTTACTGATGATGATGATAAACTAAGAAATGGTGGTTTATTTTCACGCAAATAGCGCAGCTTTCTGGCTTATTTTACTTTCCTTCTTTTAAGAAGTACTAGGTCAGTAACTGTCTGTTTCTTCACATTCGAAGATGGTATGGTTGGCTGTTTTTTTCTTATCAAAATTTACAAATGGAGAGCATCATTGAATGAGTCCCACGTTGTGTAGATGTCAGAGATTGGTATATAATCCTAAGCACTCCGTTAACTGTAGCAGTGAGTTTGCCAGTCTTGATGAGGTTTTTTTTAGCAAGTTAATACTGGTTAGTTTACTGTGTCTTGCGCCCCTCGAGTTTTCTACTTCCCTTTTTTTGTGGATCCTTCTCTGGCCAGTGCTTCTTCGTTTTCGTTACCCAAAATTCTCTTGTTCCTGATACGCAATATAACATCAGGTTGTGTGTTTCCCCAGGTTTTGTGGATTGCATTTCCTGACTAGTTTTATGTGATTTTGACACGCTATTGCTTGAATAGCTACTCCGCTCCCCGACCTTACGAAGATTTTGTGGCCAGTGAAACCTCTTTTAAGATTTTCCAAGGCACAAGCATTGATGGCATGTATTTCAGCTTCAACGACTGGATGTACTTTCCTAATGAGTTTGATTGCTCATTTTTAGGGCATGTTGATGATCAGGTTCATTTATGTGTTTTTCTCCATTCCTTTTCATCTATATACTGTATCCTTGTATATGATAATCTTCTGAATTCTTCTTCTCCTTTTAGTCTGTTGAGACTTTATACGATGTTGTGAAGAGTGTTTCCGGGACTGTGTAGTCAATTCCCATTTCTAAGAATGGGTGACTGATTTTATTGATTATTGTTGCATGCCCCAAGTGTTTAATTCCCATTCACTTTGATTGTTTCTGGAGCGTAAATGGGTTTTTCATTGCTTCTACTTGTATAACTCTTTCGAAAGGAGGTAGATTGAGCAGCGCTTCTAGTGCAATTGAGAGCGTTGTTTTCATTGCCCCTGTGATACATAGGTTTGCACCTTTTTTTTTATCCAGCTTAATGTTTCTGTAGCATGTTTTTGTTTGACTTTTGCTCCACGAGATAGTGATCTAAAAGTCATGTTGGGTCTTTTTGCTGGCGTATACAGTCCATTTTCGATTTTGGTCCACATCTTTATGGTTATCTTGAGTTCTTCTTGTAGTCATTAGTGATTTTTCACTTTTTATTATGACGTACTACAGATGAGGATTCCAGGTTAATTGCTTTGCTCAGATTAACCTTATTTATTTAACCTCTTTTTTTTTAATTGAGCAATTTATTATAGAAGCATACACTTTGTATTCTTCTTTGTATCGAACGCAAAAAGCATTGACCTTCTAAGTTTCTCATCTTGATGAAGCATCCAATCATTCCAATCAAATGTCCTCAGACAAGTCTTCAAAGCCCCTTAATACGCCACTAATCTCAATGACCTCAACATTTCTTTAGTCAACGAATTTGTCCATTCCCGATCCAAAATTTTCACATTGACCTCTCGATCCATCCTAATCCTACTATTCCAGCCCTCTGTACACATTCCCTTCACGCGAGTCCGCATTTGTTAATGCGCTAGGGAACAAATAAAATAAAAGAAAAAAAGTGATGCCGGGTTAGAATATACTACAATAATAGTTTAAGAAAATATAATACAAATTTACACTTCCTATCCATTTAAAACATGGATAATGTTACATATTTTTGAAAATTTGATCTATCATAATTCTATAAAAAAGGATGTTACCAAATATTCCATTAAAATTTTATATCTAGAGCTGTTTAATTAACTCGACAATCTTTATGAAGGTTTACCACACCAGTAATTCTTGAAATATCTTTCAAAGTTTACATTTTAAAGGCTTGCACTAACAAACCGGCTAACTGTTGGAATGGAAGGCATCAGCAGTTGACTTTTTTTTTTTTTTTTTTTTCCGGCCTGCTAGCTGCCTGTGCTATTGCCGGCACCTCACATTTCTTCCACCTCACGTTTTATAAATTTATTTATTTTTATTTATTTATTTATTCAATTTTTTTTTAAATTAGCTTTTCTGTAGGAAGTCTGGAGATCTTTCTGGTTGTGTTCTGGGACGTTATTTCTACATTTTTAGCCCTCCCACACGTGGTGAAAAGGCTCTGAAACTATCTCATTCACTAACATTCAATCCTAGTCTAGCCTATAGGCGGGTTTCAGAGTATATATATTACGCAAGGCGGGCGACCAGGACCCGAGGGGGTAAAAGGCTGGGTAGGCCCGCACCCCATCCATAAAAGGTCCGGGACCTGGTCGGCTCACGAGTCCTGCATAAACCTTTTGGACCTATTCACAAACCCCAGGATTGTGGACCATTTTATCCTGGGGAGTGTTTTGGTTATGTCCTCTCCTTCGAAAGTATCAAATCTTTTCCTAGCATACCTATCGCATTCTGCAAGGTAGTGTCGAGCCGTTTCTTCTTTTGTTTCGCAGAAGTGGCAGAAGGGGTCTGGTAGAGTACCCATTATGAAGAGGTGACTTCTCAAGGGGCAATCTAATACCGGTTGTGGCCCGACAAACGCAGTATAAGATCCTTCCTTGGCCAGGCTGTCCGCCTCCTCATTGTCATAGTACCCCTTAAGAGCAGGTATCTATATGAGGGTTACCCTATTCTCATACCTGGTAATAATCCTATTAATGAGTTCAACGGTTTCCTCTACCAGTCTAGATGTTGATAGTTCTTTTTGTAATGATTTCAGACTGGCCTGACTGTCGAAAAAAATTTTAATATCTTTTCCCTTAATCTTGTTATCCATAAGTGTTCTGCAGCAAACATTGATGGCCCAGACCTCTGCCTGAAAGACCGAGGTGTTATTACCAAGAGGGGAGGAGATGCTGATCCCTAATTTAGGTATGTGTATTCCAGCACCGCTTCCCTTATCCTTAATGAGTGAGCCATCGGTGAAGCAGTCTAGGCTACGATGGTCATCATCAGACCTATAGTTATAGTCACAGGGAGTAACTACCTGAAAGTATTTTTTCCCTAAAGGTGTTTTCACCTTTTTATCGCTTACGCCTAGTAGTTGGTTGTTGACCTTACTCAATAAATGTAGAATTTTCGAGTGACCTATATTATTTCCCTTATGGTTCCAGTTGCCTTCACTGATTTTACTCGATATTCCTCTGAAGACCCGCCCTCGTTCACGCTAATAAATACATCCATACATTATGTACAATTAAAATTACAGTTAATCTAAAACATTAACCTAGGTGGTGGGTTTATGGGGTACTTGATATTCCACCATAGACCCACCCATGCATACACTACTACCGCACTAATAAATACATTCACTCAAACAGTAACCAATCATTCTGTATTTACAAATTAAAAAATGCGGAGCTACTGGCGCATTTAATATTACAACAGTGCTTCCGCCCATTCACTCTAAAAGATATTATAGCCTAATACTAACCTAAATCAGTGGGTCTGTGGAGTACTCGATATTCCTGCACAACCCACCCATACACATTCACTTTCGCGCCAATAAATACATTCATTCTACCAAAAACACACAAAGAAATATCTATCCTAGTTTGGTGGGTCTGTGGGGTACTCGATATTCCGACCACTACCCGCCCATACACTCACACATTCTCGCCAATAAATACACTCACTTCAGGAAGGAAAAATGAAACCACGTGTGGAGAAGCATTAAAGGCGACCATATGCATTTATTTGCTTCAGATATTTGATTACTTTCTTGCTGTTGTCATTGCAGTGTTGCAAAACCTCTTTCAAGCTCGAGGAAAGGCCACACTTTGTTCTGTACGGCGTCAATAGTTCGCATTCGGTTAGTAAATGTTTAACAGTTATTTGTGCGCCGCACAATGGGCATCTCCGTGGAATTTTCCTCGCTAAGAGATGACTATGCGTCAGTCTAGTATGGCCTATTCGCAGTCGGGTCAAAATTATTCTCTCTGTTTTGCTCATACTATCCATGGCCCAGGGTTTGACCGACTGTTTTAGTTCTTTTAGTTTGTCGGTCATTTTGTCCCAGCGGTTCTGCCAATCTTTCCAGCAAAGATTCTTCATATATTTTTTGACATCCGCTGGGCTCACGGGAGTTTCCGGGTCATGTGGCATTATCGCTGCTCGTTTGGCAGCTTGATCGGCATTTTCATTACCTTCTATGCCGACATGGCCCGGTATCCAGGCAATAACTACCTTTTTTCTTTGTTGGTGTATTTCCCTGATTTTCTCTTGTATTGCCTGGATTAGTGGGTCCATGGTGAAGATATTACGGATGGCTAAGACCGCACTGAGTGAGTCGGTGCATATGACATATTGGTTGCACCCAATGTGTTCAGTTTCACTCAGCGCGGATGATATGGCGGTCAACTCTGCGGTAAAGATACTTGCAGCCTTTGGGAGAGGAATTGTTTTGGTGTGTTTTTCCCAGCATACTGCGCTGCCGACCCTCTCACTGACCTTCGAACCGTCTGAATAAATGAAGGTTCCTTCACTGTATTCTTCTTTGAGGGCCAGGAATTTGGCTTTGAATACATATGGGGGGTCTCTTCTTTCTGCAATTCCGCCATATCTACCCGTATAGGAATTGAGGAGAGCATCCAAGGTTCCTTCTTGGATTCTTTGATTTCCT